TTTTGGTCCAAAATCAAAAGTGCCGGCCAAAAAATAAAAGTGCTGTATTCTGATAGAATACGTCCGCCTTAGCATTTATTACTATGGTACCAAAGCTGTAGCACCACTGTGCATCGTGGTATTTGAGTTCTAAAAATATATGAAACGACTGACTTTCGGCCGAATACTGAAACGNTTTTGAACAAAAAATGTATGAATAGTTGATGACTTTTAGATCTCAAATACTCGACGCACAGTGGAGCAACGGCTTTGGTGCCATAGTAACAAATGCTAAGGCAGACGTATTCTGTCAGAATACAGCACTTTTTTTTGTTGGCCGGCACTTTTGATTTTGGACCAAAAATATATGAAACGTGAATGATGTCCTTTTCTAATGTTATTGTCGGTTCAGCCGTTCTCGAAATTTGAACATGTAATATGTAGGTAACTTCGGGTGGAATCTTGCAAGCTGAATTTGTTAGACCAACTTCCTGACGACAACTGTAGGTATTGGAACACATAGTAGCAAATGTTTCTTCTTTTGTCTATTGTCATTCTCTTTGTGTCACTCATGAAGAATAAACTGAAAATATGTTTAATCTCATCTTTTTAATAGAAATCCTTCAACAACTGATTGAGTTAAAATTTTGGATATACATGTAATTCGGATGACAATGCAATATTGTGATGACATGACATGGAGTCGATCTGATGATAGAGCTGGAATGCCAGTGGCCACATAGCAACTCCGGGATTAAACGATTCCATCGAGTTTAGGCTCGTTTGATTTGTATTTATTTATTTATATAAATATAAGTAAGTAATATTATGTAAGTAAGCTACTTTAAAAATCACGAGTACCTACCTACTTCAATTCTCAAAGGCAAACAGGGTCTGATGATGGAGCTGGAATGTGGCCATAGGAATAGGCTAGTTTAAAAAAAACACTTTTAGTCCGTCAATTACATTATCAAAAAATATTGGACACGGGATATTTTTATTTGTCAACAAACAAGTAATTACGAAGTTATGATGCGATGAAATTCCGCGTGACGTCACAAATCGCAACAATTTTAAGCACGTCTTAACGTCATGGGCTTCTTCTGAACTTTGGCGCGCTTTATCTCTTTGAATTTTGATAAGTTTAAAAAAGTGAAAAATACATAAAGTATTTTTTTGGTAAGTTGACCGACGGACTAATTCAAACTCTTGCTTTACCCAGGAAACATCCCTATTCTTCGAAATTATTACGAGCTACATAACGAAAAATCTTTGCTACTACGCCGCAGCAAATTCCGCATCATAAATAAAAAAATAAATTAAAAGAAAAAACCTTTTTTTAAAACAAGTTTTTGTATGCTAATAATTTTAGTTTCATGACATGCTCCCAAAATTCATCATCTTATAAGAGGATTTCAGTTTTTAACGACGAAACTTTTTAATTATTATAGCCTATAGGTACGTTTCATGGTTAGGTAATTTAGGGAAGTTTATTAGCACTTAACATGAAAAATATGGTATCAATGAACTGTGTACCTATGCATCTTCAGTGGCAACAACAAGGTCTATTGAGTACCTATAGTCTACTAAAGGCATGAAATAAATTAATTTTCACCAAAAATTAAAACCAACTTCAAAACGAATCACCAAAAGGTAGGCTGTCACCGACTCCGAAAATATCAATCATGATATAAGGGCATTTGTAATCAGTATCCACATTTTTTAATAAGCTCTATAGAACAATTTATCAATACCACTTTATCTTATTTTTTTTAACTGTGGTATTTTCGCGAAGAAACATATTGAAAATCTAATTCTAAATGGCCCATTTGCGCCGAGCCTAAGTATGAAAAATATAAATTGTTTTCTTCACGTAAATCGATTAAGTTACTGATTCTGACTCGCTCCTAATTTGGATACTGATTGCAAAGGCCTAGTAAATAAATATCGGAATATATTTTCAACTTTTACTTATCTAGTGCCGTTTCTTTTGGAGTCGATTTTTTACACTAATAGATTCTATTTAGGTAGATAATAGCGTCCGAGCATGCCTTAATTCAATCGTATCTTCTGACTGAACGTGCTCTATGAACAACTCTGACGTAAAAACTATTGTCAAACAAAGACTAGGTTGCACCATCTTATTTTAAATTTGACAAAAGTCAAAAATCTGTCAAACTCCATACAAAAAAACACCGGTTATCGCCAAAGCTACGGTCAAAGTTAGGTCACGTCAGGTGGTGCAACTCAGCCAAAGAAAAAATTCATTTTGATCGCTAATGTCAGTTTGCAGCAAGTGACACAACCTCCCCGTCTGAAGGCCAGCGGCCGACTGCCGCCCGCACCCCGCGAAGGCCCTCTCAACAGAAAAACGTTCGGAATTTATCAAAAGTAAAATTTATGAATGAAAGTAATGTTCGATTGAAAAACGCAACGTGTCATTTAAAGATTAAAGAATTCCTAATCTATTTGTGCAAAAATCTTTTAAATTAACATAGCCGTTTTGGAGGAGTAGGGAATTTAAGTAAAACATCGATGTCCCGTATTTATTTTTTTAATCCAAAACAAAGAGACGTAGCGAAAATTCAAACGTCACAAATGTAGTCCTTGAACTGTTGTATAACATATATTTTTTTCAACTATTTCTGTCCAGCAGTAAAAGAGGAGTAGGCTTTACAAAATGCTCATTTGACGCGGATTGAGGACTCTAATCGCCTTAACTCAACGGAAAAAGTCACGCCAATGGCGAGCAGGGGCGCGCGGTCCGTTGCCTGCGCTGCCCCACCTCGGCTGGTGAAAAGGTAGGGATGTGCGAAAGGGATAGCGATATAGGGTAGAAAGAGACGCAAATACAACGGAAACGAATATGCCTATCTCATTATAATTTAAGCTTCTAATAACGGTCAAGTGGTTTAATAAAGAAAATGGTGTACTAAATACTGTGCAGTATTTAACTGCCTAAATAATAATAAAAACACAGAATGTACTTTTTAAGTTGCCTCAAGACACTGAGAGGTAAATAAGTAGTTAATATTATTCATGATAATTCATGCTAAATCATGTATTTTCTCCGCCATTTTCCGCAGTTTGGCACCTCACGTCATATCATTTTACCGAAGTCAGCCCTATAGCTTCGGCGCAGTGCCGATCACTGACGTTTGTCAACAAAATGGTGCTTGACTCTTGAGACAGGCTAAATTACACCATATTGTTAATGACATTGAGCATACATTTTTTTAAATACCTTCGCGAAGTAAAACTTCTGTACGTAGTACTTATTATTATTCTGTGCCTCAACTCTCTTTGAGGGACATATACCAGATACCAGGACCACTTAAGTATTTAGGAGTATAATGATAGTTTCACGGTTGCGAGCGAATGTGACCCATAACGCTGACCACATATGGTTCAGTTACGCGTGTACAACAACATCCCAAACGTTTTGAACTGTATCTGTTATTGACTCGAAGTACCAGGACCACATAGCTACTTAGGAGTCTATAAGCATGACAACACTGTTCAGTATTTCCGTTAGAGGTGCGAGCGAGTCTGACCCTTAACGCGACCATATAAAGTTCAGTATCTCATGCACCACTCAAGCTGGCAGCCAGTATCCGCGCTCGCGTGCAAGCGAGTGTGACCCTTAACGGTGACCAAATACAGCTCAGTATCGCAAGCATCGCTTTAGTTGGTGACCGCGCTAGCGTGCAAGCGAGTGTGACCCTTAACTCTGAACACAAAAGAACCAGTCTCCCGTATTCACACACGATGTTTGCTTAAGTGAAGCAGCAAAGATAGTCCAGTCAATGAATGCCTTAACGACGGTGTAGAGAGAAATCCGTGGAACACAATTTCTGACCTCGGGACTTTATTTAGCCTAGTTAGGTGGTGAACATAGCAAAAGTCCCCGCCCTTAGCCCTTGAGCCGATTGAGGTCATCTGGAAGTGGTTAGAATTTGGTCTATAGGTCAGACATGTAGATTTTTGGACGTCAATATCTAAAGAACCGTTTGAGGTATATTTATGAAATTTGAAACTGATGTATATCTTGCAAGTCTCAACACATGAGCCAAATTTGAAGTGTTAATGCACAGTAGTTTTTGAGTGATGAGGAGTCAAAAGTGGCTCAAAGTGATTCGTCTAAATATACGCACGGTGCAGTCCCCTCGCAGGAACTAGGCTTAACATGCTCCCGCATGTCTAGAATGATTGCTCAATGTTGATTTAGTCGATTTTCTCCTGATGGGAACATGTAAGACAAAAATAAAATTTCCAATATTACAGACCTTCTAGAGCAGATGCCGCGAAAACTATACAATTTATAGAAAAACTTGTCTATCTCACCTGTAGCAAATTGAATATGCTTTTTTTTGTTCAAAGTAGTCATGTCACTAGGACGCATAGTTTCCGAGGATTAAGCGAAAAACCGAAAAGTGGCACTTTTAAACCCCCCTCTCCCCGCCGGCTCAAGGGCTAAGGGCGGGGACTTTTGCTATGTTCACCTCCTAACTAGTCTAAATAAAGTCCTGAAGTCAGAAATTGTGTTCTACAGTTTTCCATCTATAATGCTTTATTGACTGGACTAAGAGCGCTGTGATTGGTTCGTGTGTCACCCTGTGCGTCCACGCGCACTGTGAGACCTCATAGTATTGTTTTTTATACGTAATAGCGTACAACATTCAAAACATTTTGACTCGAAGTACCAGGACCACATAGCTACTTAGGAGTTATATCAAACACATCACTGTCCGCGACGGTGCGAGCGAATGTAAGCCTTAATGCTTACCAAATACATCTCATTATCACATCTATAGTCTGGTCTGTGAGCACGTAGAATTTTGTCCAATGACCCCAAGCTACCCATCCTTATCGCTCGCGCGTAATGTTGCTATCGCGCTCGCACACTCACTGCGGGCGCCCGTCGCACAGTCGCGACAGCAATATGATTACGCGCGAGCGATAAGGATGGGTAGCTTGGGGTCATTGGACAAAATTCTACGTGCTCACAGACCGGGCTTTACCTGTGCAGCATAGTGTCGAGTTGCCGGAAGTGCGTGCGACTGCGTGTGAGGGTCCATTCGCAGACGTCACCGGAAGCGCTCCAGCTTGTCGATAGAGGTCGCGCCGACTCGTCCGATGACGTCACGTGCGAACGCACTTTGAGGCAGATCCAACCTGGAAAAGGACAATAGTACGTTAGTTTCAGATATTGTTTCTTATTAGACATTGAGATTCTAATGAAGAGAAAAATTTGTAAAACTTCCCCCTGGGTCGAGTATGACAGGTCTCACCTTTCCCCGGGTCAGAATATCATAAGTCTCACTTCCCCTGGGTCAGAGTATCACGGGTCTCAACTTCCCCGGGGTCTAATAGGTTTACCTTCCCTCGGGCTTCAGACATGTCTTACATTCTCCCGAGTCTGAACATTCTTATGTTCCCCCGGGTCAGAATATCACAAGTTTCACCTTCGTCTGGATAAGAATATCACAAGTCTCACCTTCCCCGGATCAGAATATCACAAGTCTCAACTTCTCCCGGGCCGAGTATCACAGGTCTCACCTTCCACCGGGTCGGAACAAAGATTATAGATGTTGGGATCAGAATATCACGAGTCCCATCTTCCCCCGGGTCAGAATATCACAAGTCTCACCTGCCCCCGGGTCAGAATATCACAAGTCTCACCTTCCCCCGGGTCGGAGTCCTCGCAAGGCACGGTCTCGATGCTCAGTCCTCCGAGCGACACCCTCTCGTAGTGGAAATGAGCGCACTCTTCTAGTTTCGGGAAACGACAGGAAGGCGGCGGCGCGGGCTGGAAACAATATTAAAATAAATTAAAGCCCGGTCTCTGAGCACGTAGAATTTTGTCCAATGACCCCAAGCTACCCATCCTTATCGCTCGCACGTAATTATATTGCTGTCGCGACTGTGCGACGGGCGCCCGCAGTGATAGTGCGAGCGCGACAGCAACATAATTACGCGCGAGCGATAAGGATGGGTAGCTTGGGGTCATTGGACAAAATTCTACGTGCTCGCCACTGACACTATTGGCAGAGTAAATACAAATGAGTAGGTCATCTTCATAGAAACGCACCCAGCGCGGTTTGTATGTGAGCGCGCCAATATACGTATGCGGCGCGCCGCACACACTGACAAAATTCGGCGCAACCACGACTGGGTCGCCGCTAATCCCCGCTAAATTTTGTCAGTGTGTGCGTGCGCGCCGCATACGTGTTGGCGCGCTCACATACAAACCGCTCCCGTGCGTTTCTATGAAGATGACCTACTCATTTGTATTTACTCTGCTATTGGGCTATAATAGTATCCTTGTGTAACTATAACTGAGGTAACCATTGATCATCACCACAGTCAGACTTTATTGAGGCCCGATTGGCATATTTGTCCCTTAATAGATTTCAAAAGATCCCAATGGGTTCAACTATGCTACCACGTAGACGCTAATAAGATGAGATTTCATCCCATCCAAAGATGACCCAGCGAGGGCATCGGGAAATCTGGTTTCTGTCTGGTCTGGGTTTTTTTTTTTGTATGGGACGTGACCGTTCTTCTTTTTGTGGCACAACACACGGAGAATCTTGGTCAATGTAATGGTTAGTCTGTGATTCTTGGTCAATATAATAGTTAGTCCAAGACTCGTGGTTAGTTATTCTAATGCCCGTTTTCACTATCAATGCCTAATTTTTAAGTGACCACTATCAGAATAAATACAAATGAGTAGGTCATCTTCATAGAAACGCCCGAGCGCGGTTTGTATGTGAGCGCGCCAATACGTATGCCGCTCGGGCGTTTCTATTAAGATGACCTACTCATTTGTATTTACTCTGCCACTATGGTAACACTAATCAAGAGTTTTCAAAGGGGTCACTTAAAAATTAGGAATTGATGGTAAAAACGGGCATAAGACTCGTGGTCAATATTTCATGATTAGTGGAATAAGTACTTACGTTGTCAGTCAAATCGAAGGTAGCAGACGCGGGCGGCGCCGACTGGCTCATGGCTGATGTCTGTGACGTCACCGGCGTCATGGTCAACGCCGTCAGGGATATTGAGCCTGGAAGGAACACAGAATCATCAGGTCATTTAGTCTTCACTGCAGGAGCACGATCCTATCGTTACATCCACGAAGACGCGCCCCACCATTCTTCCGCTAATGTTTGAGTGTTATCGGTACACGCTAAATTTATCCATGAGTGCACACCTCAGATCATAGAAGGGAATAGATGTGAAACGGGGGCGTGGCGCGTGGCACCGCGATATGCCCAGAAACGAACATCGGCCGCGTAGCTAGGTTAGTCGCGATTCAATCGTACTAAGGAAATGTTCTCCGATATTTTGGATAATGCGTCGTTACGTGCAATAAAACAAGTGAAACGAAGAACTACAGGAACAATGGAGTCATTTACTACATGTAAGTATTGCAAATCCATTGGTATTTTGCTTATAAATAAAAAAAACTAAACATTTTCACGAACGAATTCAGTGCCGTAACAGTTACTGCAATATCGATATCAGTGGTGATAAAAATTCTAACACGCTTGTACATTGACGATTTAGTTAGCAACCACTTTATGTCATGCTCAACTACTGCGCAATGTATTTAATTTCTTCCGATATCCACTGTCGTGTGAAAATACACAGTACGGCCGCATGTGCCGGTCGTAACATAGTGCCGTGCTCGTGTTCTAATGCGGTTTCCTATTATCGATAAATAGAAGTAAATTATAATTTTCTATTTTGTAATTTTAAATAAAAAAATGATGTGTTACTTGCGATTATAAGATTTTACAAAAAAATAATAACAGTAGAAGTAATTAGTAACTGTCAACTATGTAATTACTATAAGAGCTAGTTGAAAGCCTAATATAGGCATTATTTTTGATAAACATATTATGCGGTACGCAGATCGCAATAATTAAAAAATAAATGCGTGATATTAGTTAATAATAACGTATAATAATTAAAAGGTTTTCATACATAAGCATTTTGTGAAACCAGTTTCGAGCCTTGCCCCTAGCGATTTAAAGTATCGATATCTTGTCGACTCCATTTTATCTTTGTTCTCTCACTAGCGTTTTCTATGTGTGCGTCACGTCACGCGGCCATTGATTGGCCATAAGGCACGCCTTCTGGCCAATCACAGCACTTTTAAGCCGGTTGCACATGTTGTCGTAGACTCTCAGTCGCTTTGTTTTTACACAGTTGAATGTGTGTGTGGGAGCTGTGGTGGGGGAAATGTGGGGACACCTGGTTCTCGTTGTAGTTACGAGCGACTTCATATCTATTCTCTTTCTATGATCTGAGGTGCACACGCACGCTACAATAATGACGCTCGGATTGCTCGGATCCAACTAGCCGCACACCGCGCTTCCCTCGACAAAAAATTAATGGGGCGCGTCTTCGTGGATGAAACGTCTATACCAGAGGAAAATTACAATGTCTATCAACATAACATTAAGGTACACTTTCCACGGGTCATCATTTGAAGAATTTAATAAAGACAAAAATTGAAGGACTTCTATCATGATCACGTCATTTAGTCTCCACTCCACTGAAGGAGACTTTGGCCTACACTCATCAATGTCTCTCTACCTGACTTAACATTGAGTCTGGGAGGAACACAGAATCAATGCTATCATCATCAGATCATTTAGTCTCTACTGCAGGAGCACAACTCTCTACCTGGCCAGAATATTGAGCCTCAAAGGAACACAGTATTAATTTAGTCTCCAGTTCTCCACCTGCAGAAGGACGATTCTCTCTACCAGACCTGAATATTGGGCCTGGAAGGAACACAGTATCATCATCAGACCATTCAGTGTCCATTGCAGGAGCACAACTTAGCCAGAATATTGAGCCTCAAAGGAACATGGCATCAATGCTATCATCATCAGATCATTTAGACACCAGTTCTCCACTGCAGAAGGACGATTCTCTCTACCAGACCTGAATATTGGGCCTGGAAGGAACACAGTATCATCATCAGACCATTCAGTGTCCATTGCAGGAGCACAACTTAGCCAGAATATTGAGCCTCAAAGGAACATGGCATCAATGCTATCATCATCAGATCATTTAGACACCAGTTCTCCACTGCAGAAGGACGATTCTCTCTACCAGACCTGAATATTGGGCCTGGAAGGAACACAGTATCATCATCAGACCATTCAGTGTCCATTGCAGGAGCACAACTTAGCCAGAATATTGAGCCTCAAAGGAACATGGCATCAATGCTATCATCATCAGATCATTTAGACACCAGTTCTCCACTGCAGAAGGACGATTCTCTCTACCAGACCTGAATATTGGGCCTGGAAGGAACACAGTATCATCATCAGACCATTCAGTGTCCATTGCAGGAGCACAACTTAGCCAGAATATTGAGCCTCAAAGGAACATGGCATCAATGCTATCATCATCAGATCATTTAGACACCAGTTCTCCACTGCAGAAGGACGATTCTCTCTACCAGACCTGAATATTGGGCCTGGAAGGAACACAGTATCATCATCAGACCATTCAGTGTCCATTGCAGGAGCACAACTTAGCCAGAATATTGAGCCTCAAAGGAACATGGCATCAATGCTATCATCATCAGATCATTTAGACACCAGTTCTCCACTGCAGAAGGACGATTCTCTCTACCAGACCTGAATATTGGGCCTGGAAGGAACACAGTATCATCATCAGGTCATTCAGTCTCCACTGCGGGACCACGACCCTCTAATTAACCTGAGGCAAATGGCTTTGTCCTACACTCCCCACGCTGGCCAGACGGGTTGGGGAGGCCTGATGCTCGCATATTTGTCCCTTAGTCGCCTCTTACGACATCCACGGGAAGAGTGGGGGTGGTTCTAATGTATTCCGCCTGGACAATATGGTATACGCCTAAGTTATAAAACTACCTGAACTATAGGGTATCTTAGTTGATCAAAATAAACTTACCAGGTGTTTCTCGCTTACATTCTTGCTCGGTGGACGCTCTGGTTGAACTCCTTGACTCCGAGCTGAATCTGACTGATCTGTAAAGGAAAAATAAAAAATATAGTGATTAAGTATTCAGCCAGTTTGATGCCACGATAGCCAAACCTATTAAGCTTGGCACCCAAACGGTTGAAGGGGTCGGACTGGCCGACTCGTGATCCAGGGTACGCGGGTTTGGTCCCCGCCGCCGCTCGACTATTGTTGTGAGCTCACTCGTGTCGTGACACAAGCATATTTAGCTTAGTACGAGGAGCTAACGGGGCTATTAGTAATTTATAAAATAAATTATAAACGGACTATAAAAATGATTTTAGATGGATCATGTAACTGTTTATCTTGATGTGACTAAAAAGTTATTTTACCTGTTCTTGTGCTTGTTGACCAAGTGACCGTTGACCAGTTGGTCGACGGCCAACCACCATCGACCCATCAACGACCAGCAGGTCGTCCCAGGTACCGCTGGGAAGACGAAGTCGCTAAGGACCTGCGCGATCTCCACGCGATAACTGGCGAAAGGCGGCGTAGAACAGACCGAAGTGACAACTTTTATTGGAGGCCAAGACTCACTTTGTGTCGCTGCGCCAGCCCTAGTTTCAAAGGTCTATCATAATAATTATAGGAGGAACTACGACAAACATGCCTCTCTCTCTCTCTCACCTGTGGAAGCCTGCGCTGTGCGTCATGCTGTCTCGCTCCGGCTCGGCGAACGCCCGCGCTGCGAGCGACTGACACGACATCACCGAACCGTGAGGGGAGCCCTGAAACAGAATACACGAAATTAAGCACTATTGCAGGTGCAAAGAGTTGCAAGTCCAATGACAGTTTAACTTTCCCCGGGGACAAACTTGGCCTTCACTGGTTGGGTTGTTGGCGGTCAAGCTGTAGATCCTGGCTACACAGGAGTTGCAGCGGTGGGAATAGTGCCGTATATTGTAGGTGCAAATAGTTGCAAGTCCTATGTAACTAAATAGGACAGAGGAAGGTAAAATAGATGGATTCATCAGTAAACAATATTGCTTATCTTGAATTCTATTAAAGTTTATGTATTTTCCCTATGTAATATAAATAGTCATGATAATTACAGAACAGAATACATGAGCGATATAATTGAACGGAACGTTTTGAATACCGGTATACCTACCTAACCTTCGATTGGGTTCGAGTTTGTTGCGCTTCTTCTTAGCACTTGCCAAATTTTTTCTTGAAGTACTGATAGTGAGTGATAGCACAGATTACGACTTAATAGTTACTGTTGGTAGGGCAAAAAATAATTATAAAGAAAAGTAAGTATACACTTTAAGGCTCCTGAAGAGCAAAATTTAGAAAGAAAGAAAGAAAGATACATTTATTACAATGGACATCACACAAATACAGGCAATTACATAGACATGACAGTGGCACATAATAATAAAAGAAGAAAAAATAAAAACAAGAGTAAACTGAGCAGTGCCACCCATTCACCAACAAGATGCCCACTGCAACGGGACCCCACTCAGCATATGCCGTGGCCCACGGTGACGAAGGCCACGGCGCTGGTTTTCAGTATGCCCCATGCCGAGTGAGGGTCACGGACCATTGGTAAAATAAAAAATAAAATAGCTGCATAAAATTGTCTAGATAAACATACATAAATAGTAATATTAGTGCACAGATAAATACAAAAGGCGGGAAATCGGTAAGGATGATAAGACTACGTTTATTAAGAATACTAATGAAAAGAATACTAATAAAGAGATAAAACTGTTTGTATAGGTGTGTGTGTAGCTCAGATCATAGAAGGGAATAGATGTAAAACGGGGGCGTGGCGCGTGTCTCCGCGATATGCCCAGAAACGAACATCGGCCGCGTAGCTAGGTTAGTCGCGATTCAGTCGTACTAAGGAAATGTTCTCCGATATTTTGGATAATGCGTCGATACGTGCAATAAAACAAGTAAAACGCAGAACTACAGGAACAATGGAGTCATTTACTACATGTAAGTATTGCAAATCCATTGGTATTTTGCTTATAAATAAAAAAAACTAAATATTTTTACGAACGAATTCAGTGCCGTAACAGTTACTGCGATATCGAAATCAGTGGTGATAAATATTCTAACACACTTGTACATTGACGATTTAGTTAGCAACCACTTTATGTCATGCTCAACTACTGCGCAATGCAATGTATATAATTTCTTCCGGTATCTACTGTCGTGTGAAAATACACAGTACGGCCGCATGTGCCGGTCGTAACATAGTGCCGTGCTCGTGTTCTAATGCGGTTTCCTATTATCGATAAATAGAAGTAAATTATAATTTTCTATTTTGTAATTTTAAATAAAAAAATGATGTGTTACTTGCGATTATAAGATTTTACAAAAAAAAAATAACAGTAGAAGTAATTAGTAACTGTCAACTATGTAATTACTATAAGAGCTAGTTGAAAGCCTAATACAGTGTGAGTCACGTTACAGTGTACATATGAAAATAGATGAAACTAGACCTATTTTTATCGACAAAAAAGAGGTCAAAAATTTTTTGAGATTTTTTTTTAATTTTTTATAGAATTTTTTTTCTTCCAATTACTTATTGTAAAGAAAACGTAATAACTTTTAAACTAAGCGGTATATCCTGATAAAATAAAAACAGTAATAATGCTAAATAACAGGCGATACTAAAAAAAATACATAAAATACACAAAAAAGGCCAACAAATAATAAAAAATTATACTTTTTGAAAAAAATCTGCTTTTAAATTCGTGTTTTTTTGGTTATTTGATAAATTTCTCCAAAAAATGCCCCTATAACAGGTGTTTTTTATTACTTTCTATTATTTTCTATCATATTATCTTTGTAAAACCAAAAATCGCATGTCTCTATCCCTATCACAACATTTGCTATGATCGTTTGAACAAAGGCCTGCCACAACATTATTCTCCGTTACAGGTAGAGACAATTTTAATTTTAACTAAAATGCTTATTTTACCTCGAAATCTTTTGTTTTTATTTGAAATCTAACTTGTCTTTATCAAAATTACAAATCTAGAGCCATTTTCAGTTTCGTTATTAACGAAGCGTTGAATGGCGCGCCCGGAGAGGCTTAGTTCAAACGATCATTGCAAACGTTGTGATAGGGATAGAGACATGCGATTTTTGGTTTTACGAAGGTAATACGATAGAGAATAATAAAAAGTAATAAAAACCACCAGTTATAGGGGCATTTTTTGGAGAAATTAATCAAATAACCAAAAAAACACGAATTTAAAAGCAGATTTTTTTCAAAAAGTATCACTTTTTATTATTTGTTGGCCTTTTATGTGTATTTTATGTAGTTATTTAGTATCGCCTGTTATTTAGCATTATTACTGTTTTTATTTTATCAGGATATACCGCTTAGTTTAAAAGTTATTACGTTTTCTTTACAATAAGTAATTGGAAGAAAAAAAATTCTATAAAAAATTAAAAAAAAAATTCAAAAAAATTTTGACCTCTTTTTTGTCGATAAAAATAGGTCTAGTTTCATCTATTTTCATATGTACACTTTAACGTGACTCACACTGTATAGGCATTATTTTTGATAAACATTATGCGGTACGCAGATCGCCATAATTAAAAAGTAAATGCGTGATAGTAGTTAATAATAACGTATAATAATAAAAAGGTTTTCATACATAAGCATTTTGTGAAATCAGTTTCGATCCTTGCCCCTAGCGATTTAAAGTATCGATATCTTGTCGACTCCATTTTATCTTTGTTCTCTCACTAGCGTTTTCAATGTGTGCGTCACGTCACGCGGCCATTGATTGGCCATAAGGCATGCCTCCTGGCCAATCACAGCACTTTTAAGCCGGTTGCACATGTTGTCGTAGACTCTCAGTCGCTTTGTTTTTACACAGTTGAATGTGTGTGTGGGAGCTGTGGTGGGGGAAATGTGGGGACACTGGTTCTCGTTGTAGTTACGCGCGACTTCATATCTATTCTCTTTCTATGATCTGAGGTGTGTAGTAATGGTAAAGTAATATTGTGTTAATGTGTAATATTCGTAAAGTGTGACATTGTTACGCGTTGTTGAGTGTCTCGACGCCCGCAAAACCGGTTTGTGCAATCGAATGATTGATCGCAATTTAGTCACTTGAAAGTACTATTTTAATTAATATAAACAAATAATCCGTGTTATCTTATCAAAAGTGTTTCAGAATTTATCTACGATAAAATATGCATCTGGGGGGTTATTCCGAAAAACGCTACCCGAAGTTTCGAATTCGAATGTTGCCACTAGTTATCTCTCTCTCGCAAAGCGAGGTTCCAGCATGAGCAACGGTGACATATAGACTCGAAACTACGTAAAGCGTTTGAGAGTAGACCTGCAGATGGTACAGATAACTCCAAGTGCTGTCGCTGTCACATTTACGCGTCATTACGAAGAACGTTATCTCGAGTGGCACTTAAAACGAAACAGTTATTCGACAATGTTCCAGTGGTTGGCAGATTTTGCTTTACTGATAAAAAATATTACATGACACGCAAACATTCGCTATAAATACTAATTTCTTCGTCGGACTTTGCCTACGTGGTTTTTGCTATGAGGAAGCTCTTGGCCTGCATCTCACCTCACCTGATGAAGATTGATAAAATCAGGCCGAAGATGGAAGCGAGCCTTACCCAGAATCAACCAGAAAGGAACAAGCCATCTTACCTCCAATCCAAACCAAATGAGAAATAACTCAGTGTCCACCAGGGTTGCATGATTTAAATCAAGTTGATTTAAATCATGATTTAAATCACGATTTTTATTACATGATTTTTTTAATAAAAATCATTGATTTAAATCAATGACCGAAAATGGAATTAATGAAAGGCTGGGAGTTAATATTAATCAACTGTAATGTTCGAAAACAATGTTAATATTAGGTGTTCATGTATGAAATTGTCGTTTTGTATGGAGAATCTGAAAAATTTAATTTTTCCATACAATCACATTTGCTTTTTCAGATAACCACATAAATAACTTTTTTTGGCGGTGTTGCCTGCTCCATACATCAATTTTACGTAAATAAAAATGTATTCCGTAAGAAAAACTAAAGAAATGATCGCAGAACCTAATAAAAATCAAAAAAATCTAATTAATCAAAAAAATCGTGATTTTTTTTAAAAAATCGTGATTTTTTTTAAAAAATCTGATTTTTTTGATTAAAATAAAAAAATCGTGATTTTTATCCACCCTGGTGTCCACGCAAGCTTTTTTATTGCGCCCCGTGTTTCCCTTCCAACAACCAGGAAAAAAACTGTTCTATGTTTTCCTTGGGTGTCAAACTCTCAGTAAGTACAGACACAGAGTGAAATATAATATTTTAAACTATTATGTTGCATTTTTTACTATAAAATTATCACTTCACGGTAAAATATATATTGTTAAAATAGATATTGTTGCAATAAATCCCGTGAAGTGATAATTTTACAGAGTGAAATGGTAACAGATAGACCCTTAACTTCGAACTCCTCCTATGTTCTTCTGATTAATTTCGTTGCGGGTCCAATGACAGTTTAACTTTTCCTCGGGACAAACTTGACCTTCACTTTTTGGATTATTAGCGGTCACGTTGCAGATCATGGCTACACAGGAGTTGCAGCGGTGGGAATGAGAGGTGGGAATAATCTCGTAATTGCAGGGTAATATATCTTGCGCAGCAGTGATAGCGTTAAATTAATACAGGGTCAGGGACGTGTAAAAGCGCTTTTTAGAGGGCTATCTGCAGAAAATTAATGACTTTTATTTAAAGTGATAATTTGAAACCTAGGGACAAACATAATATTTTAGCACGCGATAAAATCTTCCTGTGAAAAGCCGTATCTCAGTCAAAGCAACTACCTAACTATGTACCTTTCATCTAAGCCGGTTCACAGACTGACAGAATTACTTCCACATTCATAACATTAGTACGGATTATCAGCCACTTTTCTCAAGTAGGTATGCGGAGGTCGTATCCATTGTGGATGATCACACGAAGTAATATCAACTCAAGATCCGATCCTACGCACTAACTGACGTCATAATATTACTAACGAGGTGGCAGATGAATGATGGGACTTGCGGCCGTGATATGAATTGTATAAAATAACTAGCTTTTGCTCGCGGCTTCACCTGCGTGAAATTTAGTGTACCAGATCGGTATAAATTATAGCCTATGTGTTAATCTGGGTTACAAACAATAATACTGTAAAATTTCAACAAAATCCGTTCAGTAATTTTTGCGTAAAAGAGTAACAAACATCCAGACATCCAAACTTTCGCATTTATAATATAGTAGGATATAAATCTGATAAATATAGACTGGAAATCAATTTAGAAAATGTTTATAACGTGTTTAGTTTGCTTGAAATTACTGAGCGGATATTTTTTATAAACTCGTAATTTCTGAAAGATACGCCATTTCTATTTTTTTACGGACTGCAATATTATAAGACGGATTTCCGCGTTTTCTTTTGTCACACAAATGCGCAGTGCTGTGTTGTCTGAAATAGATTTCTTCCTAGCGATAGGACCGCCTGTATCTACTCATCACTATTTCGCTCCATAATATTATGACAGAGCCTCCTGAATCCTTGTCTATCAAAAGATTTTTTATCATGTGAAATCTTGTATACTCTTTTTCGCTCAGTATGTCAGAGTTACACATCGTGCATGGTCCTCCAGTAGGTCTACACTAGGCATTATATCGATTTTGCATGATAAGCCCATACGTTTATCGTCTAAAATCCTCGATAAGATTTTACTATGGTGCGCATCCTACAGATAATCCTAGAGGCGTAGAAAAGAGACAAAAACAGCAAGAAAAGAGTCCGTTTGAATTTGAATAATTGTCTTATCGGCACCAAATATGGCTGCCCATAATCATGATGTTAATGCCATTGTTCCATTGTGTCGTCTACGCTCCTTATAAATATAAACGCGTAGTTTCGGAAGTAGGTTAACAGCTGGCTTGAGCCAGTAAAACATATTTATGGGATATAAACCAGCGTTATAGCGCTGTCATAAGCGGATGGCTCGGAGAAGCGATGGCTGGGTTTGAGAGATAAAGGAATAGGAGCGGTTCTACATGTTATGGTGAAAACCGGCCCTGTTTCGTGGTACCGCGCTGCATACGCGGTAACCAATCGTCACAATCTTTTATGAATTTTTAGTATCATAGGTCGTGAATGTGTACTATCAACTATCTCTACTTCGAATCGATAGCCCATGTGTGCTCGCTCGATATTATTCTGACTTTCGACTGGCACGGCAGCCAAATAAAAAGCCTAACAAAAGCCGGACAGGTCGGACAAGACAATATTAGGCCGGAGAAATCCGTAAAAAGCCAAACATGTCCGGCTTTAATAGCAGCACAACATCCTGGACTGGGCAACAATAATCAACCTTATTTCTAATTTATAAATCGATTAAATCAGTCTCAAAATCAGCTTCTTAGTCATCACAGCAATATCTTTTGCACAGCTTCGATATTAGACTGTACTTCTGTTAGATAACCGCCGAAATCGAAAGCTCATTGTGTGTGTTTCACACAGCATTACTTTCGTGTACACGCAACGGTTCCTCAATGACGATTTATTAGTTTTACACAAGTTTGAAGTAGGATTCGATTTTGTGGTTGTCTGACACGCGAGAACGGTATTCGGTGTGTAAACGGTAATGTTTCCGTCAAAGAGAAGGCTTAGGCTTTTTCCACCAAGGCGGAGAGGAGACGAGCGGAGTGGAAAGGAGACGAGCGGAGAGGACAGCTGACGTGCCTAGCTGTCAGTCTATTGCTGCTTACTTTTTAGGGTTCAGCAGTCCTGACAAGGAACCCTTATAGTTTCGATATGTCGTCTATCTGTCTGTCCGAGGTTTTGCTTGGAAACTATTGGTACCTACTAGAGAGCTGTAATTTTGTGGAAGTATGTATCGTGACACGACACGCACTTGGCTAATTTTTAAAAAAATTACTGGGTGAAGCACTCACAAAATCACTATTAATACTTTGTTTTAGTCTCTCACCTTGACCTTGGCGAATAATACGAAAATGGAGCTCAATTTGAACGAAAAATGGATGTTTGTCACAATATTTCTAATGACATAGAAAGTAGGTAAAATAAAGAACACATTTCATGCCGTTTTTGAAAGAAGAAGAATATAGGAAAGATAGTAGAATTACACAACAATTATTACAACTACCACAACAATTACAAGATGCAAACATCCATTAAATCATGGACCTATAAAAAAAGTCGGACGGATTCTCATCAACAAAATACTGTGACATTAGGATACACCAGCTTGCCTGTACGTATAGGCCGGCACGCACACATTCACACCCTGATACACCACTTCGAATGCAAACTTCACACAGTTGACTCATTTAAGCAGCGAAAAAACAACACGAATACGACATGTCTTGTGTGATGAAATTGTGTAAAAACCGTTCTGTTCGAACAAACAAAAATTAAGGAATCACATTTCACAGGCAAAATAATAATCCAATCACTTATTTCCCGACATTAAAATATTGAAATTAATTGAAATCAAACGTCATTCACTCGAAAAAATAATACGTCAAAGACTAGTGTTCTCAGTTATTTACGTGGGAAAATTACCCGAAATATGGGAAATTAATAATAATTTTAGGACTTTTTAGTTATTTATTACGCATACTATGGAAATAAAATAATTTATCATAATGTGGCAATGCTGCCAGCCTTTTGGGCACCATCCCTGACTGCGGCGCTGGGGGTGAAGTATTTTTTATTTTGTAAATAGTTTTTATCATTAGTAATTTTAAAATTTTAGTTTTTAAGTCATTTTAAGTTAATTTATTATTGTAAAATTTATTCTCTAATAAAAATTTGAAACATCTTTGTATTTATTTATCATAATAATTGTGTTTTAATGGGATATATTTTCATAGGCAAATTTGATCCTTCCCAAAAATGTGGAACTGCGAAATTCAAATTTTCTTACATTGATTGCAAGTCAGTGTCAGGTTGTATGTTAAAATCTATCAGAGATAATAATAATATATTGATGATGCATATGCAGCTTATGATTATAATGTACACAAGATTCGTAATTTGTAACTGCGTGAATCATTTTTGATCAAGATTATGTACATACCCTGACACACTGACTTGCAAACAATGTAAGAAAATTTGAACATTGAAAATTTCGCGCCTCAACCTCACCGCATTCACCTTTCATCCTTTTAAAATGGCACGGAATAATTCTGTCTACATTTCCAAGTAACATCTGCCGATCTATGTTTTTCTTAAAATAAATGGGTAAAATGTTTTGGCTAACATGGCATCCCTAAATTCACTCACACAATAGACAAACGCCAAAATTTTGCGTCACAGTTTTGTTGCAGCGCGAGTTCCGTCCGCCTTTTTTTATAGGTCCATGCATTAAATATGGTTGATGATACATTTTCCATGACATTTCATAATGTTCACAAATAAACTCATGCATGTAAGGTTTGTATCATTATGTGACGTTCGAAAACGTGATCGGAACTCAAGCATAGATCATCATCATTTCAGCCACAGGACGTCCACTGCTGAACATAGGCCTCCCCCAATGATTTCCATATTGAGCGGTTGGTAGCAGCCTGCATCCAGAGCCTTCCTGCTATCTTTATGAGGTTATTTGTCGTATTTTCTTGTCAGATCCTTCAGACGATGTAAAATTGTAAATGAAAAGAGTTGACGGACTGAATAAATTGATGTAGCTGACTCTAAATGATTAATTGAGATAATGAAAAAATGATTATCCAATTAATCACTCGATCAAAATTTAGGCGTTGACACCATTAAGCAATGATTTCTAGATCATCAATAAAATCAATTTATTTCTACTCAATAAATAGATTCAATTTCAATTAACTGTGAAATAATAAATCAAATTGGTTTGATATCAATGGATAGTCAAAATCTTGTAATGACAGTTTGCTATGTTACCAATTTCTGGGAATGGGAAAATAATATTTTGGAAATGCATAAAAAGTATTTCAAAATTGCTTGATGGTGTCTATAAAATTGTGTATTTGACATCATTCACCAATAGTTCAAAAGCACAACTTTTTTAAACACACTTCATTCTGTGAACTTAATTAATTTTAAATCAACAGTAAATTATGATTTTTAGTCGCTTTATAATTGATAAAAAGTTAGTCAATAGAGTTGGCTAAATAGTGACATCATTGGCTTTCATTGCCCTACAAAATCATGGGAGAGTCCCTTCGTCTTAAAATTTTGTTTATGGCCAGGTCTAGGATATTATGGCCCACAGAGTGACCTGCATTTAGACAGTTCAGTAACTTACATCAATTAATTGATTGGTGATGTCAAGTACCCAATTCAAACATGGAAATAGGTATGGTATGGTTAAAAAAACAAAAATAAAACAAATGACATACAGACAACATCTATGCCGCTAGGTCTAACTGCTCACATTGTGACCACAGAGCATCCATCCATCGGAGCATACGCCGAACACCCTTCTCATGGTCGGTAAACACTAAAATATAGCAATTTCACTTTCAAAAATGCCATTTAGTTATTTTTTTATCCAATTTTAACACAATGCACTTCACTAGTTATTCAATTTAGAAAATTCCAAATTTGAATTTTGAATTTGCACTGACACTAAACTTTTTTTTGTTTACTTTTTAATAGAACACTCGTGTTTTCGCTATCGATCTCATTTTGGACTGAATGTTTTTGAAGCACTGGCGAAATATTTCGAAAGAGTTTCAGCATAGAATCGCAACTTTCCGGTCCAACGGTTAACTGGCTGGATGCAAATGAAAAAAATGAAAACCAGACCGCTGCAGCATTGCGACAGTAAAAACAATATTTACATTAAAACTGGGCTACAAAACAAAAATAGATGTCTGTCCCCCTGCTATGACTGCAGGATAACTCCGACCGAGCTAAGTTATTGAGTCCCAAGCTTCGTTTCGTGTTCGATATCACTTGTGACGTTAACAAATCAATGTAATAACGCGAAACTAATTCAGCAAAAAGCTTTTTCTCGTGAAATATTCGCGAATCGTAACTCAAAACGCTAATTCGATTTGACAGCGACGGACGCCCCGCGCCCCGCGGCGAGCACTGGCGGTCGATGGCGGTGTTGTCAGTTCGGGGAGAATTTACCCCACTTATGGGAGAAATTAAAAATTCGCACTACAGTATATTAATCAAGTCGCGTTAAAAAAACTGAACTAGATTTGTAAGTTTAATTACATCTTGATGCAATACCAACATTGCGATATTGTAACATTTAAATAAAGCATTGTTAGAGCAAAAAACATTTGTTTTATTGTGCACTTACAAAAATTCACACAAGCGCTTGTTAACATTCGTCCAGCATCTTGATAACGGTTATGAGTTCTCACAATTTTGTACAGTCGAGAACACATCAAAGTATACATTTTTTGTAGCAAAATAGTACCTAATCCAACTGTATAAGACACCACAATGTTAAGCTTAATGTGCTGCTGTTAAAGTCAAGTAGGACAGGGTCGAAATGTCTTCACGCTAATCATGCTTACTCATTGCCCCAAAATAGCGGGATAGTTCTTAGAATGATTTGTAATTTCGCGTTGAATAAGGTGATTATGAGAAAATAATTGAATAAGTTAATGTTGAATTATTTTTTGTGCGGTGACTGTGAAGTAGGTATATTAAATTAAACTGTACAAATAGATAATGACTTCGTACTTCGGAGGGCATCAGTCCAATCACTCCAATCGGGGCATTATCAGACGCAAGGCAGTGTAACATCAAATACCATCCCGTTTGAAACTCTTCGTCAACTTCAATGCGTGTTAATTACTGGTATAAACTTCCTATAGAGTAGGTAGGTGGTAAGCACCAGCACTGGTAAAAATAGGCATACTTTGGATCTGTAAAAATGGATTTATCTCATTCACCTATACTAATATTATAAATGCGAATGTAACTCTGTCTGTCTGTTTGTCTCGCTTTCACGCCAAAACCACTGAACCGATATTGATGAAATTTGGCATAGAGATAGTTTAAGTCCCGGGAAAGGACATAGGATAGTTTTTATCCCGGTTTTTGAAACAGGGTCGCGCGTGATAAAGTTTTTCTGTGATTCAGAGACAAAATTCCACGCGGGCGAAGCCGCGGGCAAAAGCTACTTTTGTATGAAAAGGGAACCTATTATGTCACTAGTTCGCGATCTCATTATTCTATGTATTAATTTCACAGCTACTGAATATTGATCATTACAGCACAGCTAACTCGGTTTTCAGATCTAAAAGATTTCAAAAGTCTGAATTATTAGATACTAGCTTTTGCCCGCGGCTTCACCCGCGTGAAATTTAGTTTGTCACAGATCGTCATAAATTGTAGCCTATATGTTAATCTGGGTGATAAACAATAATACTGTAAAGTTTCATCAAAATCCATTCAGCAGTTTTTGCGTGAAAGAGCAACAAACATCCAGACATCCAAACTTTCGCATTTATAATATTAGTAAGAAGTAAGTAGGTACCCAATTTTAAAAGGAAAAACTTATAGGAAGTAAACATAGACAACCTGTTTTTTCTTAACTTATAGGAAGTAAACATAGACAACCTGTTTTTTCTTAAAGGAAGATCTCTAAGACACTCCTACACTGCATTAGCATCGTAAATGCATAATGTGACATAATTAAAACGCGAGCATCGCGTTGTTTACAAACGAACGGCATCCACAAACAACGGTGACATAATTCGTGGCCGGCGATGCGTGGACGCATGCCTGGAGCTGCATGGGTTTAGATAGAACTAACTAACAACTTGCGGCGCATTATGTTCGTTCGTTTTAGCCAAATGACGCCCACTGCTGGACAAAGGCTTTCCCCAAGGATTTCAACACAAAAGACAAAGACCAGTCCTGCGCTGCCCGCATCCAGGCTCTTCCCGCGACCTTCATCAGATCTTCGGTCCACCTAGTGGAAAAAAAACTGATACTGATAGTATACTGGTTGGCAGGGTGCTACATGTTAAAAAATAGTACATTTTTAAGAAAAATAAGTGTTTTTGAAGGAAGTCTGGCTGGTGGATGACTGGATGGTAAGCAATCACCACTGCCTATTGATATCAGCACAAGAAGAGTTGATGATACCTCTTGTGTGTTTTAAGAGAGCCGTACACGATTTTCTTAGAGATACCAATGTTATATTCGATAGGAAACCGGTCATGCTGTAACGGTAGAAAGTTACCACAGAATAACTAATAGTACGAAGTTACAAGTAAACAAAACACTCACGGTTGCTGCGTTGCTTAGTTGATCGAAAAATCATCAAAATTAAGACGAATAAAAATAGCATAATATAAAAAATTAATAGCCGTGGAAGCCTTCTACATGAGAGGAAATAAGAGGCAACGAATAGCAAAATGCAGCTATTAAGCTTCAAAGACCGCTGGAACATTATGGTGAACCCAACACTAACATTTATGGGAATAAAAATAATTTGCAAGGGAGCATTCTCCACATCACAGCAACATTTGCATACAAAAACAAACATAATAAAATTATTCCGCTTATTAAACAATATTTGAGCAGAAGCCCTACGAGTGCTCGCAAGATGTCCATATGCGCGACAGATGACAGCATGACGTAAGTGCAAAGCTTAAGAACTAATTGTAAAGTTCATTAGACGATCTGGATGATTTTGACTTCAAATAATTAGGGGCATCTAAAGTTAATAGTAACGTGATCCACCTGCTTCCTAGACATAAGTGACAATACTTTACTGCCCAAATAGCTCAAATTTTAATAGCTTGCGATAATTTTATGACAGTCTGAGAAAAGGGACCCAGAGAGAGGATCCTCAGTAAGCAGTTGAATGAAATGAAATAGTTTATTCAGTAGAGTAGACCCTTTTCGGAGCACTTGTACACGTCCCAAATATAGCTTGCCCTACCACCACTTCGGGACAACATATTATGGGCTGGTGCTGAGAAGAAGTGGCGGAAGAAACTCAGTCACCTTTGTCAACCGTTGAGTCAGCAGCAGTTGAGGATCGTCGACCTGATAATCATCATCCATTAGGTGAAAGGAGTTTCCACGTCGCAGTAAAATAAAAAAAGATAAATGTGCTTATGGTCACTTTTTGTCGCCAAAACCGGTGACTTTAGACTCTAAATTCTAAATTTTAGAGGATGAAACATTGGGGAAACCCACAATTTTTCATGTTAGCATAGCAATATGAAAACACAATGCTTTTGAAAAAAAAGTGTTTTGATTAGGAAACCGAACTCCACGCGGCAATAGCAGTCTATAAACAATTTTATAAACCACAGCTATGTCTATGTCCGGACAAGAGCACATTTAGCTAAGCATTGTAGTACCTTCCGTACTTGTAACAAGTGTTGTTTTGCAACAAACATGTATAACCTGACGTGCTGTCCACACTTCCACAGTACACAAGCCGCAACATAATCGAACATAGTAAAGGGTCATTAAAATGACAGACACGCATTTGTAACGAGTTTTCCTTATCGGAGGTAAATAACATCGCGTTTAATAATAAGAATGAGCAATCAAATTAGACGCGTATAGACGCGGGATTAGTCATAAATGACCACAGCTGGGGGAGATCAGTAAGTAAAACTACCAAAGTTACTATAACAAGTTGCCTAGGCTCGAGAGTCGAGTTGAATGAGATGAGACGCATTAAACGATATAAATCTTCTATACTAATATAATAAATGCGAAAGTAACTCTGTCTGTCTGTCTGAATTTCTTTCACGCCAAAACCACTGAACCGATTTTGATGAAATTTGGCATAGAGATAGTTTGAATTCAAATAAATAAATTCAAATAAATTCAAATAATTTATTTGTGAAACACAGGTAAGCAGTATGATGTACAAACAAGATATGTGTTCAAGCCGTGATCAGCCTTGTCGGCATACAAATTTTTGAGTCCCGGGAAAGGACATAGGATAGTTTTTATCCCGATTTTTGAAACATGAACGCGTGTGAGAAACAAAATTCCACGCGGGCGAAGCTGCGGGCGGAAAGCTAGTATTTCAATATTTGGATCGATTGTGTCTATTTTTGAGTGCATCTCTTCAATAAAGAGAGCCCAGGCCCAAAGATTAATCTGCGCAAAACTAAATCAGTACGTTACTCGATCGGTCTATCACACACCCTAGGATGCTGAAATAGTAAACATACATAAAGAGACAGCCCTCCATTCTACCTTAAAGTTATCTTTGAGTAACAGCAGGTTACCTAAACTGCCTAGTGGTTTCGTAAAGTTGACTTTGCGTAACTGCAGGAGTGCATGCAGGTTACACAAACTGTACTGTTTAGGCTAGTGGATCTCTAGTAAGTAGAATACTGAAAATAGTGACTGTAAGAAATCGAATTCAGAAGGAAACGCAAACGATAGGCCAAATTCAATTTGATTTGAGTCTGACAATAACAACATTGTAACATAAGACGAAGTGTGCTGGCTGTTTTATCACACGCTGCGCTAGTTATGTCATAACTGGTACTGGTGTGGTACTGGTGTATTAATTAGTGGACACAAGCATGTACGACGTCCATGTTTTATGTAAGTCTCTACTCTATTTGTCAGGAGAAAACTCGTAAATACCCGTTTTCTTCTTACGATATAATACATCTTTTACTAACAAGTTTTGTCTATAACTGGCCGTGGTTAAAGTCTATGGTGTCGCCATAAGAAAGATTGGTCTAATAAGACTGTAGAAAATATGATCATGTGCATTTGGCTCGAAAAGAAGAAAATTTTTTGACAGGACAGGGTAAGACGTAACCTATGGAATCGATAACTACTGTGATTGTTTTTATTGACAAAAAATAATTATTAATGATGAAAATTCAGGGTGTCCGCGGAAGACTAGCGTCTTGTTGGCATGCCCCTTGCGAGCATATCACGAGAAATGATGAGCAGGGGCCTGCTGGGACCGTGTTACCTACTTACCATTATTATTCTCCCGAATTGTTATAAAAAATACTGTTAATTTATTATCATCATCATCATTTCAGCCACAGGTCGCCCACTGCTGAACATAGGCCTCCCCCAATGGTTTCCATGTCGACCAGTTGGT